AGGCTTATTTGCTGAAATTTTCTGCTGATGCCATATCCAAATATTCTTGTGCATTCCATGCAGACCATAAGGCTGAATAAGCCGATGAAAACATACCAAAAAACGACCAAATACGAAGTGGCAACGTAAACATACATAACGACCAGCTGGTTAATCATCGGTAAAATTTCGAGGAGAAATATATGCTAAATGATGAGGGCATTTGGCGCAAATGTCCCGGTGCACGAATTCCCCGTCCGAATTGTTCTTCGTCAGTGATTCATCAGCATTCAATTGTTTTCCCTAAAAGAAATTCACATTTTTCGCAAATTTTTAGCTAGAATATTGCATTATAAAAGTGCAGACAGTACACAACATCCTCAGACACTTCGATTCAGCCAGCTCTTCTTGCTCGAGGCGATTATTTTCTTTTTTTTCTTATTTTTTAAAGAGCATAATGCAACAGCATACTCGCTGGCCTAATTGAAATATGAGCGAGCTGAGGAGGATGAGGGAATGAGGTTGTTGATACGTTTTAATACGCTCAGAGGCACGATGCCACCACAAAAAACAGAATCCATCTGATGAAATGTGTTGCTTACATTCCAGTAAAATGCGTGTACGAGAAAGAAATTGACCCCTTTTTCGTGTAGAGATGACTAGCTTGCATAATTCCAGCACTGCAAATTGACTGGAAAGGTACCGTTCAGGGCAGAAAGTATGTTGCAACCAGCAGTGCTTCGCGTCAATGGATGATGCTAACATCATTAGTGATATCGGACTTCCGCAACGTTGTCAAAGCGATTTGAGCGGAAAATGCTTCTCATTTTTCGCGCAGTTCACCGCATCCATCATTATGAGCAGAGCTTTTGCGCGGTTTAGTTCAGCTGGAAACGAGATTAAATGCGCAAAATCATAATAAATAAGTTCTGGTAATAAAAAGCATTTTAGTAGTAAAAAAAACGAATTTTCTACAATGAACAGTTAAAGTGTTACAATTTCAAAATCGGTGCTGAAATTTTGACTTACAAGAAGCAAGG